GATGTGTTTTTTGGGTGCTGGCTGTATCCTGAGCACCCCCCAGGCTCTGCTCCCCGTGAGATCCGACCTCCCATCCCCACGGAGCTGGGAGGGGGGAGATGGAACCATTCCCTCCTTAACCTGCCCCTTCCAGCTGTGGTTTGTGCACTTCAGCCCCGAGCGCTGCCTGCAGGCCCTGTCCTCCCACCTCACCCACCTGCAGGGCACAGCCCAGGTAAGGGGGTGGGCACAGCCTGGGCACAGCCTGGGCACACCTGCAGGTCCAGCCCTGGGCCCCAGGGTTGGTGGGATGGGGGTGGAGAAGTGTTTTGATCCCGTTATTCAAATTATTAGAAATGCCTCTGCCTGAATTGAGGGTGTATAATGAGACCAGCTGCCAAAGGCAGGACTATGGATTTTATTTAACAGCAAATGTGAATAAACAGTTAATAATTTAACAGTACCAATTGATTTAATATTATTTAATTAATGATTTAATTAATTCAATCATAAATTATTTAATTAATATTCAATATTAATTTAATGTTAAATATTACTTAAATTAACATTAAATTTAATAATTCATATTTAACATTAATTACATATTAATTATTAAATTCAATATTAATGTTAATAGTTAACATTAATTAAATATTTAATTAATATTATTTAAGTAATATTATTTAATTAATGGTTAAATAATAACCAATAATAATAAGCTACTAAGAATAATCAATTAAATAAATAAATAAAACTATTAATAATTATTAATTATTATAACAAATAATTTATTAAGAAAAGAATTAAATTTTTAAATAAAATATTTTATAATGAAATAATAGTAAGAGAATTAATAAAAATTCATAAATGATAGCCAATTGCTATTAATTAAATAATAAATTGATAGTTATATTAATAGTTATATTAATTAATAAATATATTAATAATTAATAGTACCAATTGATAATTAAAACGGTAACAATAACTTTAAGAGTAGACATGTAATTTACTGTTATTTAACAGTAAACATGAGGCAGGGAAAGAGAGAATGAAACAGGAAAAGGAGGAGGGGGGAAGAAAGAGAGTGACAGAGAGATGAAAATAGAAAATTTATCATCACTCTGTGATGATTTTGACAATATTTAAGAGATTAACAACATTTCAGCCCAACACAGCAAGGACAACTGAGTGTTTGAGTGCCCTCCTGAGCTTCTCCTGCTGGGAACTGGGCACACTGGGAGGTGGATCAGCTGCACCTGCTGGTGCCCAGTTCAGCAGGAACTTGTTTTGATTTGTTTGTTTGCTATGTGCGTGTCTGGGTAATTAACTGCACAGCTTTAATGAAGGAAAGTCATCAGGAACCAAAGAAAGGCCAATTTTGGAAGCACGTGTCCCAGCCTGAAAGAGCTGACACCTTGAGCTGTCCTCCTGGAATAAATGGGATGGCCTGAGGGAGAAGGAAGTGCTGTACTGGGTTAATTGGATAAAAATGTTGTCCTCTTGGCCTCCAAGGGAATGTTTGTCTCTCTGTGGGTGTATAAATATCCCCTGAACTGCCCTTGGTGGCTGTGGGATGAGAGGTGAGGGGGTACAACCCTCCCAAAACCTCCAGGTTGCTCATCCCCCTGCTGAACCAACAGCTGCAGCCTGGGGGGATGGACAGTGACCACCCCCCCCCAAATCCACACACAGGGGATTTTATAGACTTACATTTAAAAACTCAGATTTTAAAGACTCAGATCTTTAAAAACTCAGATTTTAAAGACAAGATTCCCCCTGTCAGGCCGTGACCATCGTGCTGGGAACAGTCACTGCCACAGGAGCTCCTGGTTGTGGGATGGACACCCACCTCCAAGTGCTTGGGATGGTCAATCCCAGGAGTGAAAAACATGCAGGAAGAAATTCTTTAAGCCCTTTAAAGGCTGTTGTCAGCCACTGCCTTTGGAGAACCTGAAATCTTTCTCTTCCAGGCAGGATTGAGGCACAGGCTGGACAAGCTCTGTGTGGTGATGGAGGCAGCAGTTCAGCCCGACCTGGGGACAGAGGATGAGGAGGCTCCACGTGAAGAGTCCCCTCTTTTAGCCACTGGGGAGAACCTGAATAAAAAGCCTGTGACATGCAATGAGCTGCTCTGCCTCGTCCCTGAGGGCCCACCAGAGGTAAGGAGAAACATCCCTCCCTGACAGCCTGAGGCACCAAATCAGCTCCCCGGGCAGCTCAGCTCCAAAACTCATCCCAGCACCCGCCAGCCATGGGAGACTCCTCCTTTTTCACCACCAGAAGCACCTGGAATTCCACACACACCTTCTCCAGCCCTGCTGCTGCTGAGCAGTTCAGTCAGCCAATGCTTAATCCTTGAGGAATTCATGGCTTGGGCTTTTCCTTGCTGGTGACCAAGGGGTCCCAGTTTGGAAGACAAACTCTACCCAGGCTCTGTGCAGGGACCTGGTGCCCCTGTCCAGGCTGGGGATGAGTTATGGACGTGCCCAGCCTCTGTTCCCTCCACGGAAAGTGCCTTCAAAGACTTGTGCCACGCTGAGCAACAAATGTGTCCTCATTCCTGCTCAGCAAGGAGCTTCAAAAGGGATGATTTTGATTTATTTTCCAGTTTTCCTCTTGCTGTTACTAAGTGAATTCTGTGCAGGTGCCATCCCTGCAGATTGAGGCTCTCTGCCTGTCTGGAGGCAAAAAAAAAGAAGGCCAGAGGAGGCAGTGACAGAGTGGGCAGGTCCCCAAGCTCCCAGGCCACCCACGGGTCATTTTGTGTCCCTCCCCTGTGGGGACAGTGCTGACCAGAAGGGGATCTGGGACAGTTATATGTGCCATTGGCTGCTGTCCTGCTCCTCTCAGAGCAGGACAGTCCTTGAAGGAGGGAGCAAATGGTGTTTAATACCACTCTCTCTGCCCAGATGCTCTGCCCTGACACCTCTCTGCTCGTTCCAGGCCATGGCCCAGCAGCTCCTGGTGATCTTCAGCGGGTGCTACGTCCGGCTCCTGGTCACGGGGCAGCTCCCTGGGGCCGTGGCAGGGGGGCACCTGGAGCACAGCACCGTGCCCTGTCTGTGCCAGTTCATCCAGACCACCGTGCTCGACTCACACCAGAGCTGGTTCAGGGGCAGGTGACCCCCAGAGGGGCCTGGAAAACACCAAAATAAAAGCTGTCCCTCCACACCAGTGGGGCTGTGATCCCTCATCCTGGATTTACCCAGATGGACATGTGGAAGTAGGACTCCAATAAAACATTCAGGACACACAGAAAAGCTGCTTGCCTTGGAGACCTGCCTGCCCCTGGCTCAGGGGGAAGGAGCTGCCCCAGGGGTCAGAACAACCCAGGGACAGGCTGGAGCTCCTGTGGGACATTTCTCACTGTTCTTACCTGGGGGGCTCAGAGAGTCACAGGGAACACCCACAGGTGCCAGTCCTGTGCCTTTGGAATGAAGCACGTGGGAGTTTCCAGTACAAGGAAGACAGGGAAACGCTGCCTGGAGGTGTTGGAAATGTGCTGCTTGCTCTGGGCTGTGTTTGTGTCACACAGTTGTCAGGGACAGTGTCTCTGCCCTGTGACACGTGGGCACTGTCCCAGCTGATGACTCAGCACACCTTCCACTCAGGAGCAAGCTGGGGACAGTGCTCAGCACCTGCTGCTTCTGCTGCCTCCCCTGGGAAGGAGGTGATGGGCACGGAATCATGGAATCAGGGATCACAGAGCTGGAAGGGACCCACAAGGATCATCGAGTCCAACTCCTGGCTCTGCACAGGCCCATCCCCCAGAGTCACATCTCATAGAAACACAGAATGGTTTGAGTTGGAAGGGACCTTAAAGCTCAGCTCATTCCAACCCCCTGCTATGGGCAGGGACACCTTCCAGCAGACCACCAGAGCCCTGGGTGATCCTTGGGATCAAACCTTGGAGAGGGCACTGGGTAGGGCATCCTGGGGCACTGCTCTTTTCAGGCTCCCTTTTCTGCTCCATTTGCAGGCTGATTTCCTCTGTTTTTCCTTTCCTCCTCTCTCCACGCTCTCCATTTGCACACAACACGTGAGAGGAGCCAGTGGAGAGCAGGAGCAGTGTGTCCATGGGATCCATGAGGGAATGGCAAAGGAAGCACTGTGGGTTGTGTGCTCAGGTGGTGCTGGTGTCCTCCTGTCCCACAGCCAGGCCCTTCCATGACATTCAGGTGGCTCCTTGCACTGCTGTGACCACCTAACCCCCAGTTTGGTGGTGACACCTGTCCCAGGGAGTGGCAATGTCAGAATAAAGAGCCCAAGGTGTGCATTTTCCAGCCTTGCTGTGGCTGTTCTCCACCTTCCAGCCTGCCCTCCCTCCTTCCCCCATCCCCTGCAGAGCCCCACAACCCCCAGGGCAGGGTTTGTGCCTCTCCCACCTTCACAAAGCCCAGCATGGCCCACACAAAGCCAGGAGGGTTTTGAAATCAAGGTCAGTGATTTGTGTACATCCCCTCCTGCCACCAAATTGTACCAGCAAAGGCCAAACCATCGCTGAGGGCAGCACCAGGCTGAGCCCTGGAGCTTTGGGAGCTCTCACTCAGCTCTTCCCAGGGGTGCAGGATGACTCTGCTCCCTCTCTTCTTATTTCTATCACAAGCAATAGTGAGGCAAGAGCCACCTCTGCCCACATGAGCAGCCAGAGGACCCTCAGCATCGAGTCCCAGCACCACAACGACAGCAAACCAGGACAAAACCCACCACTCTCCCAGCCAGCTGCTTTTGATCCAACTTTACTTCTGGCTCAGCTGTCACGGGAGGGGGTCGGGCAGAGTCTCCCCCACGAGTGTGGGGTTTGTGATTCTGCTGTCATCGCTCTGTGACACTGCAGGGGTTGGGGGGGTCCTGCTGTGCTCCTGCAGCCTCTGCTCTGGGGGAGCTGGTTGTCTGCTCAGGCTGGGCATGGGGGAAGGGGTTGTGCAAAACATCCTGGGATTTCCACAGCCCTGAGCTCCCAGACTCCTCACTCCAGCTCAGGGACTGATTTGACCTTCATGGAAGCTGTCTGATTTTATACCAATATCATCAGGAGCACAATTTGGTTTCACAGGATGAAATTCCAGTTTGCTGCTGGGATGCAATGGCTCGAGCTCTTCTCCTGGTATTCCATGGCCCAGATGTGCCAGGAGCACCTGATACATATTGGGAATCTTCTTTTTTTGTCTGCCAGCTAGAAAATTCTGGTAACAGGAGACCAATTAAGATGTTTTCTATCGTTGTGCTTCTGTGTTGAGAGCAGATACAGGAGGGATTCGCTGATATTTTCCAATCCCTGTGCTGCAAGATTCCCAGCAAATGGATTCCCTGGAGAAATCAGTGGGAAGAAATCTTGTGGCCTTCATGGGAGGACCTTGAGGGCTTTTACTGTCGGGACCTGCACTGGATGGGTTTGATGTTCCTGGGAAGGGAGGCTGTTGCTTCAGGGGGTGCTGATACCTCTGCCTTTACATCTGCAAGTGCACAACAAGAGGAGAAAAGAGGGGGATTTGGGATTAGCCAAGGGGAAGGGGAAAGGATTTGAAGGGACAAGGCTGGGATGTGAACAGGGAAGGTGCTCCAAAAACCATAAATAGCAGTAGGTGTGAGGAGTCAGGCCGGGTTTGTGACATGGAGAGCCCACCTTGCTGCAAGGAGGGGATAAAGAGCCACAGATTCCAAGCTGTGCCCCCACCAGTGCCTCTGGATCATCCACATTTCCCAGCTAGGTCATTCCTCTGCTGAGCCACGTGCTCCTGGCACCCTGTGCTGGGCCAGCTCTCCCTGGGGCACCACAGAGCTCCTGGCTGGGGAATGCTGTGGGATAGAGGGATGTGCAGCCCCCCCATTGCACTGGCACAGCTCCTGCAGCCACAGATCTGAGGGGCTGCTGTGCCCAACCCGCACAGGGCCAGGCCCTCTGCTCGTGCCAGCCTGGCATCTCCCCTGACTCCAATTAAACACCCAGCAATTAGCTGCAGTGAGGAGCTGAACCTCTTTGCTCACAGGAGGAGTTTGATTTCTCTCACTGATACACCCAAGTGCCTGCCCTGAGCTTCCCAGCTGCAGCCTCTGCTAAATCCTGACTCCCACTGCAGGGTGATCAACAAACACCCTGTTTTTTCTTCATATTTACTTAATTAAGGCATTAGTGAAGGGAGACACTCCCTTTCCCTTCCCCATTAAAGATCTAGATGCTATTTTAGGGAACAGATGATATTCTGGACACTTTATAGGACTCCCTGGGCACGCAGTTTGCTTTCCTTCCCCTCCCCACAGCACATGGGAGCAGCAGGAAGGGAATGGCTCAGCCCTACATCTTCCCTGGAGTCTCCAGTGACAGCTCCTGGCAGAAGCAGGAGATCCCAGGCATGAGCTGACCGCTGTGGCAGCTGCCTGGGAATGTGCCCCTGCCTGGGAATGTGCCCCTGCCTGGGTGCAGCTCTGGGCATGTTTGCACAGGAGCAACCAGGAGTGACTCAGCCAAACCAGTACAACTGGTATTTGCAGGGCAGATCTCTGCTGTGCTGAGATTCCTCTGTCTGCTGTTCAAAACCGAGTTTACTTTGACAGTGAGGTTTAACACCTGAGCAAGGTGATGTAGGAGCAGCTCTGGGTGAACCTCCTTTGCCTTGACTGGGATGGGTGAGGAGCCAGGATGGCCCTTGCTGTACCCTCTGTGCCAAATTGGGACCAGCTGCTCTGGGGGTTTTGCATGAGTGATCTACAAAGTGTGGTTTAAACGAGCCAGGAAGGGGCTGGGGAAGACTGGGAAGCAAGGCCAGGGATCTCTTGCTGCCTGTGGGGGTGTGGAGATGTATTTTGGTATTTAGCAGGGTGCATGAAACGACAAAGACTGTCCCAGGGACACATAGCCCTGGGGGAGCAGGTGCCATCCTCTTGCCCCTCTGGTTCCTCCCCCCCCAAGTGTGTTTGTCCCCCTTCCAAAGGCTGTTATTTGCTCATCCCCTCTGCCAAGGGGCCGGGATGGAACCAGGACGTTTAACAACAAAACCCAGCCAGGAAGGACAAAGCAGGGAAGGAAAGAAACTTTTGTAACTTCCCCCTGTTCCTCCTCAGCTCAAGCGCCGGGCTCTGAGGAAGACTCTGGTCACCGGAGCACACGGAGGGAGGGGGCAGGGAGGTGTGGAGGTGCCCTGGGAGCCCCGGGGAGCCCTGGCCCCTCCATCCCGGGTGTGTGGGTGTCCCTGTCCCCCCCGGGTCCGGACTCACTCTGTCAGTGGCCGCGGGGCTCTGCCTGTGCCGGGCAGGGCGGTGGCTCCCGGTGCTCCCGGCTCCACAGGGTCCTCATCTTCCTGGCCACATAGCGGCAGGCTGGGGGGAAAGGGGAGACCCCTGCTCACTGCAGGAACCTGAAACAGCTCCAAAACGCCCTCCCCAGCGAGCCCAGAGCGGGACCTCTCGCTGAGCTGGAGGTCCACATAGAAGGGGATCGTGGCGGGGCTTGCGGGACCCGCGGCAGGTTGCGGCCAAAAGCAGCAGAGGGAATGGAGGGACTGGGTTTAACAGGCTGAAAGGGAGTTGTTAGCGTGTCTGGAGCCCTGGTTGTGTTTCCAGCTACTCCAGCCTTTCTCCCCCCACGAGCCAAAGCCATAAAACACGCGGAGTGTTTACCCTGCGGGAACCCCTCTGAGCTCCCTCGCCTCAAACCAGAGGTTTCCTTACCGTCGATAATTACTCAAACCATTTTTTGTCGCGGGCTCAGCAAATCCGTCCTTCCCAGCCGGCCTGGCTCTGCCTCCCGCTCCTCTCGCAGCAGCTCTGCAGTGTTGACTCGCCAAGCCCGGCTCCCTCCTTCCCTCCCTCCCTCCTTCCCACGGGGATGCTGCTCCCGGAGCGCCCGGTCACGCGCGGGGCGGTGGCTCAGCCTGGCGCTGCCCCCGGGATCCCTGCCCAGGAATGCGATCCCTGCTCCTCCCGGAAAGGAGAAAGTGCTCTGAGTGTTGGCGCCGGGGTTTGAGCCGGCCGTGGTGGAGGGAAAAGGGAAAGGAAAGGGAAAAGTGGCCTGGCCGTGGCTGGAGGAGCTGCTGGTGGTGCCTTGTGGCTGCTGGAGGATCTGGGTTTGAGATGTGGGAGCTCATCAGCTGAGCTGGGTGCGATCACTGCGGTGGGCACTGTGCTTGTGCAAGGCAGGGGAGAAGAGTGGGATGTTTCTTCTCCTTTCCTGCTGTCGTCTGGGTGCTGCAGGGCCATGGATATCTTAGAATCACAGGATGGTTTGGGTTGGAAGGGACCTTAAAGATCATCTAGTTCCGAAGCCGTGCTGTGGGCAAGGATACCCCACACAATCCTTCCATCCCCCATCCAGACCTTGGCACCTTTTTACACCCTGTCCCAGTGACTGAGGGGGGAGAAAAGGGTGACATCCCCAGCAGAAAAGATGAAGGCAGAGGCTTTGCTTTTTCCAGGATCCTTTGGGATCCCACCTTCAGAGCACTGATGCATTTTAGTCCTCAGTGCAACCAGTTACTGAAGCAATGCAGGTTTTGTACATTTTCCAGACCTTGCTGCTGTTTGTGCTTGTGTGTGCTCCTTAATCTCAGCCAGGTGAGCTCTGAAAGCTTCTGCTTTGCCCTTTGACCAAGGCAATGTGTTTCCCATCTCCAAACCAAGCTCTTGCTGATCCAGGCAGGTCGGACTTTGTTTTCCATGGCCTTGCCTTGGGATTGTGTGCGGTTGGTCAGAGATGTGGCTGATGGAGGGCAGGGATAGTCTCTGCCAGGGCTGCACAGCCCAGGCTGCTGCAGCACAGTCTGTGAGATCAGTGTGTGAGAGAGAGGAGCTGATGTCTCACCACCCACTCTCAATCTTGGTCCTCCATGGTGGAAGGTCTGAGTAAGCCCTGACGGGCTGAAAACTGTAAAATACAGCATAGAAATCTTCAGCTCAGCTGGTGGCCTGTGGTGCTGCTCTGTGGTGCCAGTGACAGGCAAAAGCTTGAGTGGCCATGAAGAGCAGCCTCTGCCTAAACCATCGAGGACTCCCTGTCACACCTTCAGATCACAGAAGGGCTCAGGTGGAAGGGACCACAGAGGGTCATCTGGTGCCACCTCCCTGCTCCAGCAGGGCCATCCCAGAGCACATGGCACAGGACTGTGTCCAGATGGGTCTGGGATATCTCCAGTGAGGGAGACTCCACCCCCTCTCTGGTCTCTGTTCAGTCACTGCCCAGCAAAGAGGTTCTTCCTCCTGTCCAGGTGGAACTTCCTGGGCATCAGTTCCTGCCTGTTCCTCCTGTGCCATTGCTGGGCCCCCCGAGCAGAGCCTGGTCCATGCTCTGCCCCCTCCCTGCAGACCCTGCCAGATATTGAGGAGGTCTCTTCTCAGTGTCTTTTCTTGAGGCTGAACAGCCCCAGCTCTCTCAGCCTTCCCTGAGGTCAGGGAGATGCTCCATCCCTTCAGCATCTTTGTAGCCTCTGTTGGACCCACTCCAGGAGCTCCACATCTCTCTTGAGGAGCCCAGAACTGGACACAGCACTCCAGATGTGGCCTCCATTGAAGCCTGCAGGAGCTTGTGATGCAAGATCTGTAGGTGTTAAAAAAAAATAATCAAGAGAAAACCTCCAATCCCTGAGGAACACCCTCCAGACCTCCCTCCTGAACCTCTCAACTTCCAACCCCCGCTGGAGGAACAATTCTTCCCGTCCTCAGATGAGCTCCCCAGGATGAGGGGAATGATTGTACCTTGTGCTGAAGCAGAGAGTGAAGGTGGCTGGAGGAGTGAACTGTTCTTCTGAGGCTTTGCTGCTGGCAGTTTGGCTCCCCCCGACTCCACACGTGGCCCTTGGGTGTTGTCCTCTGCCAAATGTCACCGTAGAGCTGCCGCCTTGGGTGTGCAGGCACATCCCTCTAGATGGTGCTAAGATAAAGAGAAAAGATGGGTGGTGAGAGGCCTGGGAGGAGGGATGTCCTCCTGGGCGTGGGCTCTGCTCATCTGGCCCTGCCAGAGGTCTCCTGGGTGAGGAGAACACCTCCCTCTCCTCTTGCTCCCGGCCAGGCTCCCGTGCCCTCCTCCAGGCGCTCTCCTGTGGTGCTCATCGTGTCCATTGGCAGCAAACACATCCCAGGCCCTTCTCCCACTTCTTGTTTCCCTTGCTGGTGCTCAAGACTCCACAAATTCATCATGATTTTAATCAGTGCATCTTCTCCCACCCGTGCAGGGGATCAGACAAGTTGTATTTTTAATGGCAAAAATCCATCTTGGCTGGTTTTTTCCACTTCAACCCGTTTTACTGAGCAGCACAGCTAAGACTCATCAGCTGAGTCCTCTTCTATCTCATGCACCATTAACCAGAATCTTAACCAAATTCAAGCATGGATAATGTTTGATTTATTGATGTGGGCAATCAAAAGAGAATTCAGCCTGGCTGGCAGAGAACAGCAAGGATTAATGTGAAGGGAAGTCATTTAGGTCCACAGCTGAACAGGTTTTACTGTGGAGTCCCAGATGGGCAGTAAATGAGCTGTTGAAAGAGAGATGTTGTTAGAAGAGACTTTTAAAAAAGAATAACCACATTCAGGTCTGTTTTTTTTTTTTCCCACTAAGTGTAAATAGGGTGAAGAACAACTCTGTGAACCTCAATAGCACTGATGAGGTGAGCTGAGCTCCTCTCCCCGTGCCTTCTGCAGAGGGAGAGGATGTTCCTACACACTGAAGGTACCAGGGCACAACCAGGCAGCTCCTTGGCATGGACAGGCTTAGCTTGATTGGGATTGAGGAATCTTCAGCTCCCACCCAGGAATGTGACCACAGAGCAGCCTCACAGGGGGGTTTTGGTGCTGGTCCTGTGCACTCAGCTCTGACAGCTGCCCCTCTGTCACCACTTCCCTCAGTCACTGAGAGAGCCTGTTATAAGTTTTAGTTGCTCCCCAATCTAGATTTGTTGGCCTGAGCGTTGTATGTGGTTTCTACTGATACAGGAGGACTGCTTTTGCCAAGTTTTCTTTCCAAGAATGGCTCAGCTCCATTTGTGATGAGCCCATAAACTGGATTAAGGGCTCAGAGACAGATTTTCTAGTATTTGAAACCCATAATCTGGGCTGGGCTTTCAGCACAGCTCAGTGCCCTTGTAAGCAGTAAATTATGGTCGTTAAGTGCTCAGCACTTGTGGTTTGTATCAGGCTGCTCCAGGCCATGGTTTCTGTGAAGCAGCACCCAGAGCTCCGGGATCTTGGGAAAAGTAGGGCAGTGTTCCCAGTGCTGATGTGAGAACTGAGCTTTTCTGACGATGAGACTCCCCAGCCTCTTGATTTTCCTTTTCAAGAAGCGCAAAGAGCTCTGAAGAATTAGTCATCAAGTCAATCCCTGCTCTGCAGACAACCTGCCACCCATTCAGGCTCTGATATTGCCCATGACAGAACATCACCTGAAGCTCAGGAGGGACCCCATCTCCAGCCAGCAGGCTGATGCCATTTCAGAGCATCTCTGCTGTGGCCACCTCTGAGACCTGTGGGGTCTGCAGAGAGACCTCAGTTAAACCAGGGCTGTTCCAGGGAGTGATGTGGCCACAGCTCAGTCAGACTCACAGACTGGTTTGGGTTGGAGGGGACCTTAAGGATCATCTCATTCCACCCCTGCCATGGGCAGGGACACCTTCCACTAGACCAGGTTGCTCCAAGGGCTTATCCAACCTGGCCTTGGACATTTCCAGGGATGGGGCAGCCACAGCTTCTCTGGGCAACCTGTGCCAGGGCCTCCCCACCCTCCCAGGGAAGAATTCCTTCCCAATATCCCATCTAACCCTGCCCTCTTACAGCTAGAAACAATCTCCCTCTTATCCTGTCGCTCCATGCCCTTGTCCAAAGTCTCTCTCCAGCTCTCCCAGAGCCCCTTAAGGGAAATGCCCACAATTTGCCCAAGTGCGTTGTGGATTTTCCCTCCCAGCCCTTCTCCCAGTGCTTCAGCTCAGCCCCATGGTGGCACCTTTCTGTGAACACCAGTTTGCTCAGGGGGACATAACCTGGGGGAGATGGGTTTGGGGAGATGGGGGGGGATCTGGTCCAGTTCAGAAGAAAGGACAGGTGACATTTATCATCCAGGGGACTGCAAACCAGCTCAGGAGCAGCTCAGAGGGCTCTGTAAACACGGTGCTGCTGCTCTTGACTTCTGTGCTGAAAATAACCGTGGATGAACTGATACCCTGTGTTGGAAAACCTCACTGGCATCAGGAGGAGTCAAGGAATAAGCAAAACAGCAACAAGTCCACACAGGGCTTCCTGCAGAGGTCTTGGGATGGAGGGGTCTCAGAATCCCAGAACCTGCTGAGCTGGAAGGGACCCACAAGGACCGAGTCCAACTCTGCCCTGCACAGGACCATCCCCAACACTCACACCACGTCTCAGTGCCCAGGAGGCTCTTGAGATGGCGATTATGGGTGACAGAAACACGGAAAAGGATTTTTTTGGGAGCCGAAAAATGGCATCGTGTTTTTCTTCCAGACGCTTCGTTCTTGGCACGGCCGGTGGGGAATTTCGGCTGATTCAAACATTCCTCAGGTGGTTGTGGCTCTTGGTGACCTCTTTGCTGTGGCACTGGTGCTCATTTCTGCTGCTGGGCCTGTGCCACCAGCCCAGCCCAGCTCTTCCTCTCCAACCTGGATCCAGTCGTGGCAAACAGAACATTCCTGAGTAATTGGTCCTGATGTTCACAAGTCTGAGGAGAGGTGAAGGTGGCTGCAGTGCAAAACCAGCCCAAAATCCTCTGCCTGTGCCTTTGGCAAGGTGACAGCCCTGCTGAAAGGAAACACAGACACCAGCACAACTCAGAAATAAATAACCATGACACGGAAAGTGCCCAGCCCAGGG